AGAGATCTGGTTCTGACAGCTACAACCTTCCCTTCACCCTGCTAACATCTGCATACTCAGAGCCAATGCTCCCTCTAAGCTGTGGAGTCCTGTGAGCAAAAATTCTACTTTGTGAGCTACTGGCATTAAAGTTGTGAGCAGGTGTTTTGGCTACTGCATAAATTAGTTTGCCCTGGAGCCCTCCTTCCTGAGCTAAGACAAAAATGTGTGCGCCAGAGGCTAAGAAACTGTGAGCTAACTCACACTAACTCAGCTTAGAGGGAACACTGCAGTCGGGGCAATGGGCTTGCCTCTCCCCACAGCTACTTCTTTATTATTTATTATTTTCGATTTATATCCTGCCTTGCCTCCACAGGCAGGCTCAAGGCGGCATACAACAATTAAAAACAATAAAATACAGTGCATAAATGTAATCCAATAAAAATTCCACGTAAAACAATATACAAGTAAAATGCAGTTCAGTATAGATAGCGGTTGCTGTACAGGCCAGCACCCATAAGTTTTCTTAATGCTCATTCATCAGTGGCGGCTCCTAATCAAAGGACTGGTGGAAGAGCTCTGTTTTTTAGGCCCTGCGGAACTGTAAGAGGTCCCGCAGGGCCCTGATGTCTTCCGAGAGCTCGTTTCACCAGTGTGGAGCCACCACTGAGAAGGCCCTTGCTCTGGTGACAGCCAATCTGACGTCCTTCGGGCTGGGGAGAGTCAGGCAATTTTGCAGCCCTGACCTCAGTGCTCTCTGGGGGATGCATGGGGAAAGGTGGTCCCTTAGGTAGGCAGGCCCCCAACCATATAGGGCTTTAAAGGTCAAGACCAGAGCCGTGAAGCGAATCTGATATGCTATTGGCAGCCAGTGCAATGCTTTCAGCACAGGCCGGATGTGCTCTCGTATAGAGAGACCCATCAGCAGCCTGGCTGCTGCATTTTGCACTAGCTGCAGCTTCCGAATTTGGGACAAGGGCAGCCCCATGTAGAGAGCGTTGCAGTAGTCCAATCTCGAGGTGTGTGTTATTTGTATATGTACTTTTCTTATTATAATAATAAAAATAAATTTACCAAGGTGACCATAGCATGGATCACCGTTGTGAGGTCATTGCGTTTGAGGAAGGGAAGGTGCATTGCTGGGAGGCATGCATGCAGCCGGCAGCTTGTAGTTAGTTTATCGGAGAGAGCAGACATAGGAAAGGTTTTTTCTTTTAAGGGATGGAGACTGGGTGGGGAAATCCCTCTTTCTCACTGTCCTGTCCAGCGCGAGCTGTGGCTGAGCCAGTGCTTTCTAGGTGTGGGCCAACACACAACCACTGAAGAAAGCTTAAATCATCTTTATTTTACTTCACACGCATTCAGAAGATCATTTACTCACAATCGTCCGGAAAGCTGGGTGGAAAGTTACATGTTGTGATCTAGATTAGTTCAATAGCCGCGGTGAGAAAGAGATGGGCTTCCCCTCTCCTATCTTTGCGCCTCTGAGCTCAGGAAATTACTCTTAATGAGCCAGTCAGAGGGAAGCTTCTGGGACCCCTAACTGTGGACTCCAATTCCCAGGTGCACAAGTCTTAAAGATACAGAGCAGTTTTACTAAACTACAGATAACGCTGACTGAGGGCAGCATAGGAACCAACTGCCTGATCAGCCGCAGGGGGTAAAAGGCTGCCTGGGCAGTGGCTGCTACCTGGGCCTCCATTGTTAAGGTGGCATCCAGGAGCACTCCCAAATCCCTGACCTTTGGTGCTGGCACGAACAGCGCCCCATCGAAGGCCGGTAGTGGGATCCCTACCCTCGACCCGCTCCGACTCAGGCACAGGACCTCTGTCTTCATCGGATTCAGTTTAAATCGACTCAGTCTGAGCCAGGCCGCCACGGCCTGAAACGCCTGATCCAGGTCATCAGGGGTAGAGTCGGACTGGCTGCCCTAACAACAGATACAACTTCAGTCCCTAACCCTATGAATCTCGCCTCATCCTTCCTCCCCACATTTCCTTTATAATAAAAACTCCTGGCTTCTACACCTTCTCCACACCCCAGACCCAGGTGGCTCATCAAGCAGTATTGTTTCCATTTTGATTACTTTAAATTAGCAATCCATTAGTTCTTCACACCACTGGAGAAGCAATCAGGAACTGAACCCAAATTGCACTTGGCATCCAGAAGAGAACTAACTGCACGGTCTCTTTTGTTCATTCCTGGGAACTATATGCCTCATTTCCAAACTACATTGTTTTACCCCTGTTTAATCTCATCGATGTTTTGTTCTGAGTGGCCCCTCACATTAGCAAACCCTCTGGACACCTTTTTGGGGTATAACTAGCTCAGCACAGCCCCATTGCTGTATTTGTGTTATCCTGGGCGCCTACCGACACGCACCCCCAATATACTGGGTTCTTCCTATCCATGAAGTGTTGTTTCTTTTGCCATTTCACTTCATGGACTCCTCGACTTTTTCAGGAAAGAAGAAGGAGGAGAAGGTGAGGAGCAGGAGGAGATTGGATTTATACCCCGTCCTTCACTCAGAGTCTCAGAGCGGCTTACAATCTCCTTTCCCTCCCCCTCCCCACAACAGACACCCTGTGAGGTAGGTGGGGCTGAGAGAGCTCTTTCGGGGACTGCTCTTGAGAGAACATCTCTGAGAGAACTTGTGACTGACCCAAAGTCACACCAGCAGCTGCATGTGGAGGAGTGGTGAATCAAACCTGGTTCTCCCAGATTAGAGTCCACACACTTAGCCACTACATCAAACTGGCTTTCAGGTAGGTAGGTATCACCTCAATCCCCACTATTCTCCTGCTCCTCCCTTTGTTTCCCATAGACCTTGTATGTGTGTATGCTTTCTGGGTACTTCTTGTGTATTAATTTCCTTTCAACAAAACATTCTTTACTTTAATCTTGGACTGGTTACTGAGAACTCTTCTAAAGGGAAAGATCCCCGTAGACATATAGGTAGTAGATCCTTGCTAGTACCCCACCTCCTGCTGACACCTGCTATTTAGCTAAATTCCCCTAGAAATTGAAGGCAGCGATTCAGCTTCTTAAATCTATGCTGGTGGGGTAACAGTGTCACCCAGTCTTTGGAACTCCACACTTTGAGAGGTTTGATTGCTTCCCTTTACTGTTGTCTTCTGACAGGAGGTGAAGACTTTCAGGTCTGTTTGGCATTTCCTCACTGACTCTTCATAGCCCTCCTATCTATGAACAGTTCTAGTTACCACCAGGGGTCATTTCGTAGAAAAAGAGGTGCAGGAGCTCATTAGCATAACTCATTAGCATAACTTATTTGCATGTGCCACACCCCCTGACATCACCGGAAGTGTGTCAGAAGGCGACACCCACCACTCAGGCTCCACAGGACTGTTTTGGATTGCTAGCTATTTGGGGGGGGGGGAACGTGCAGATCTGTCCTCGTAGTGGAGGGAGAGCTTGTACCTGAATAAAACTTGGCCTTAAAGGTGCCACTGGACTGTTTTGGGCCGGGGGGGGGGCTCTGCAACTTACCTGGCTGCTTCTTGCTCTGACTGAGGGCTGCTGGGAGCAGGGGCGGGGCTTGTTGCATGTGCCTGCCCCGCAGGAAATGACCTGCCAGAGCGCCGCTCCTGTGCGCTCCTGCAGGAAATGACCCCTGGTTACCACACTTCAAAAAAGCTATTATAGCATTGGGGCAAGTGTAGGAAAGGGCAACTAAAATGATTAAGGAGATGGAACACCTTCCCTAAGAAGAAAGGTTAAAGAGGTTAGGGCTCTTTAGCTTGGAGAAACGACGCCTGAGGGGGTGACATGACAGGGGTTTACAAAATTATGCACGCGATAGGGAAGGTAGAGAAAGAAGTCCTTTCCTCCCTTTCTCACAGTACAAGAACTTGTGGGCACTCCATGAAATTGATGAGCAGTACGTTTAGAACAGATAAAAGGAAGTCCTTCTTCACCCAAAGCGGAATTAACATGTGGAATTCACTGCCCCAGGAATTGGTGGGAGCTACAAGCGTAGACAGCTTCAATGGGCAATTGAATAAACATATGAAGCAGAGGTCCATTAGTGGCTATTAGCCACAAGGCATAGTTGAAACATTCAGTCTGGGGCAGCGATGTTCTGTATTCTTGGTGCTTGGGGGGAGCACATTGGGAGGGCTTCTGGAGTTCTGGCCCTGCTGGTGGACCTCCTGATGGAACCTGGTTTGTGGCCACTGTTTGACACAGAGTGTTGGATTGGGTGGGCCATTGGCCTATTCCAACATGGCTTCTCTTATGTTCTTATCTGTTTGTGTTTTTTAAATATGTTCATGTGTTTAGATTGTCTATTTTTTATTTATTTACCACATTTATACCTCGCCCACCCCACAATGCAGGCTCAGGGCAGCTCACAGTCAGTACATAAAATACAGTTAAAACCACATAAAACCATATAAAACAATTCCATTATTAATACAGTTTCATAAAGTGCTGAAGATAGTTACTCAAGGTGGCTTATTTCAGTGTCCTCTCTAAAAATCCTTCTGCTCAAGATCTTCCTGCGGCTCAGGCTGGATGTTAAAACCAAGGGCCAGGGCTCTATAATGTTGGCAGCTCCTAATGGAAAGCCTGGCGGAAGAGCTCCGTCTTGCAGGCCCTGCGGAACTGTAGAAGGTCCCGCAGGGCCCTGATCTCCGGGAGCTCATTCCAGCCGCTGCTTAAAGACTTCGGGGGGGGGGGGGCTCACCACCTCCCTAGGCAGCTGATTCCACTGTTGCACAACTCTTACTGTCAAAACGTTTTCCCTAATATCCAGCCGGTCCCTTATCACCCTTAGTTTATTTATTTATTTATTTGATTTCTTATACCGCCCTAACCCCTAGGGGTCTCTGCGCGGTTTACATAGGAGGTTCTAAGAACGCTTTCCCCCTAACTATGGCCACATTGTACAGGGACGGGGCTGCCTACCAGCACCCAGGTGGTGGGCTGTTGTTTCTCCGGCTCGGCATCGTTTTTCTTCCCAGGCAGTCTTCGGGCGTTCGACCTGGCGCTCCAGGTGGATCTTAGTGGCTTCCTTCGGTGGGACCGTTCGGCACACGATCCATGTCTGCTTCCAGCCTCGGCTGCGTCCCTCGGGCTCCACTGCGCCTGCATTCCACGTCATCATGCTCTTTGGGCTCCACCTCTGCCGTCGTCAGCCATACGGTGTTCTGCTGCTGGCCACCAGGGATCGCTCCTTCGATCTTTTTGCCACTGCTGCTGCTACGTCGCCATGCTGCCTCCACCGCCGGTGCTCTGCTGCAGTCGATGTCTCGCTGCCACTGCTGGTGCCTCCACAACACACCTCACCGGAGGAGGGTGCCCCCTACCCCTCTAAGGGTAGGTACCCATTTGTCTACTCGCATTTTTTTTTTTATTTACTTGCTTTCGAGCCGCTGGGTGGACAGGAGTTTAAACCCATGGTTGTGAGTCCTCTCCTCTGCTACCAACAGGAACAGCTCCCTGCCCTCCTCCAAGTGGCAGCCCTTCCGGTACTTCAAGGGAGCCATCCTGTCCCCCCTCAGTCTCCTCCTGTTGGTGTCGTGGTTAAGTGCACGGACTCTAATCTGGGAGAACCGGGTTTGATTCCCCACTCCTCCACTTGCATCTGCTGGATGACCTTGGGCAAGCCGTAGTTCTGGCACAGCCGTTCTTGAAAAAGAGCAGTTTCTGTCAGAGCTCTCTCAGCCCCGCCTACCTCACAGGGTGTCTGTTGTGGGGAGGGGAAGGGAAAGCCACTCTGAGACTCGTTTGGGTAGCGAAGGGCGGGGTATAAATCCAATCTCCTGCTCCTTCTCCTCCTCTCCTCCTCCTCCTTCTCCTGTTCCTCCTCCAGATATGCTGTCAGTCTGATCGGCTGGTACTAGGTTAATTGGAACCATGGCCTGATGCATTATTACTTGTTTTATTGTGTCCTTGATCCTATTCTGTCCATCTTCAAACTTCAAGAGCCAGTTTGGTGTAGTGGTTAAGTGTGTGGACTCTAATCTGGGAGAACCGGGTTTGATTCCCCCACTCCTCCACTTGCACCTGCTGGATGACCTTGGGTCAGTCACAAGCTCTGGCACAGCTGTCCTTGCAAAAAGGCAGTTTGTGTCAGAGTTCTCTCAGCCCCACCCACCTCACAGGGTGTCTGTTGTGGGGAGGGGAAGGGAAAGGAGTTTGTAAGCCACTCTGAGACTCCTTTGGGTAGTGAAGGGCGGGGTATGAATCCAATCTCTTCCTCTCTTCTTCTTCTTCTCCAGCAATCTCCATAAGAGGAAGGACTCATTTGCAGGCCTCTGGGGAGAGGATTTCCTACAGAAACGCACGATTCCCAAAATATTCATGATTCAAAAAGCTGAAAATGAAACAGAATGAGAAGCGCACTCTGGTTAGGAGCATGTGCTGGAGAATGCGTTTCAAGGCCAAATTATATTTAAGTAAATCAACACCCTGGGAAATATGTAAAGATATAAATACATTCAATAAATGGATTTGACATGTGAGGGACTTCCTTATCAGTAGGCAAGGGCGGCTCTTTAAATACATCCATTCAGGCTTGCCTGACACTGAGGGCTGAAACAGATGAGATGAAAACCATACATTTCATTCCATCCATAAAATCTCAATTGCAGGCTCAAGCAGCCTCAATTCGCCTTGGGAACATACAGGGCTCATAGAGGAAAGGGAGAGAGATATTTATTCTTTAAACTGCCTCTCGGTTTTGTGACGGCTTCATGAGGGAATTGGATAGAGATATGGAGCAGAGGTCCATCAGTAGCTATTAGCCACAAGGTATAGATAACTCAAGTGGTTAAAACACTGGGCTGCAGACTGGAAGGTCGGTAGTTCAGCAGTTCGAGACCCGAGTGCCACATAACGGAGTGAGCTCCCATCTCTGGTCCCCGCTCCTGCCAACCTAGCAGTTCGAAAGCAAGAAATTGCAAGTAGATAAATAGGTACTACTTCGATGGGAAGGTAACAGTGTTCCTTGCACCTCGGCGTCTAGTCATTCCGGCCACATGACCACGGAAATGTCTTCGGACAGTGCTGGCTCTTTGGCTTGGAAACTGAGATGAGCACCGCATCCCTAGAGTCGGATTCGACTGGCTTTGGAGCAAGGCAAACTTTTACCTTTATAGATAGGAGCTCTCGGTCTGGGGCAAGTGATGCTGTGTATTCTTGGTGCTTGGGGGGGGGGCAAGAGTGGGAGGGCTTCTAGTGTCCTGGCCCCACTGGCGGACCTCCTGATGGCACCTGGTATTTTTGACTACTGTGTGACAGAAGGTTGGACTTGATGGGCCATTGGCCTGTTCCAACATTGGCTTCTCTTATGCTCTTATGTTTGACCTGAAACCAGCATCTTGTTCAGATGTAAAAGGAATTTGTTTTTAAACAGCATCTTTTCTCCTTTAAAATACTAAGAAGACAACGGGAGAGGAGCAGTTGCAGGTAGCAAAAATGAGAGGAAGTTGAAGGTTTAAATCCCCTCCCTCTCTCCTCCCTGCATGGCCCCAAGGCAAACTTTTACACAAGCTTCCAATTGGCATTTGATGGGATGACCAAAATCCGTAATCTTCACATTGTCTGTTTGGGCCCTCATTGGTCCACCGGGCCCAGTATTAGCTTTCTCCGGCAAGTTCTCCTAGTTCAAGTGACCCGAATCTAAGAACAACTTGCTTTTTGCTCACCCTTATTTTCCAGGTCCATTGGTGGAGGGAGGGAAGAAAAAGAGATTGAGAGTGTTAAGTCGCTCACTTAACAAAAGCAGTCAGAGAGTGATTCAGCAAGAACGCACACAACTCTAACACGGATCAACATCAGTCAGCCAGAACAGCTCTGATATTGCAGCTGTCCTGCTTTTAAACATTCCCGGCTAATATAGCCACACCCACTGTACACATAACCAACCAATGAGGTTGAAATGATAAGGACCAATCACGAACGTTCCCGCTCGGGGAGCTAGCAGTGAAGTGATTGGACGCAGTTTCCTGGGCTAGTCTTCTGATAGGATGTCTTTGGATCCTAGCCCAGGATGAAGCTTAACATTAGGTTTCAATGGGGAGGTTCACAATAACACATGTATTCAGTTGGCATCACATAGAATACATTACAGAGAGATTGCTGCTGTCCATGAAGCCAGCCTGCCATTAGTACATGGGGTGGTTTGTGGAGGGAGGGGAGGGAGAGAGGGAGAGAGAGAGAGAGAGAGAGAGAGAGAGAGATTGAGATTGTAGCTATATGGTAGGGTTGCCAACTTCCAGGTGGTGGCTGGAAATCTCCTGCTATTTCAACTGATCTCCAGGCAACAGAGAATAGTTTGCCTGGAGAAAATGGCTGCTTTGGAAGGTGGACTCCATGGTATCATACCCCACTGAAGGCCCTCCCCTCCCCAAGCCCCTCCCTCCTCAGGCTCCACCCCCAAAATCTCCAGGTATTTCCCAACCCAGAGCTGGCAACCCTACTGTATGAGGGAGTATATTTGTGGGTGGTTTTTTACACCAAACTTTCACAACTTTCTTTTTCCCCCCCCGAGCACTTGCAAGGAAATCTCGCACAAAGCAAATGAATAGCAAGGCAAGGTATGGCAGGATAGATACATATGGTGGGAAATTATACAGGGCGTTTGCTACTTAAAACATCTGTTACATGTTCTGCATAGAGAAAACAAACCACGTTGCGCAGAGCATAGATTTCAGGGAGGTCATGCAAGTTACCTGTGCCTCGTGGGTATTCTCATTTACTGATCGCTGATTTTATTTTACAACAGTTATAGCAACCTTTATTTCTGCCCTCACAGAGGCCACCAAGGCTGCTAACAAATTAAAACATATCTCTCCCTTATATATAATTGAATAAGACGCAGAGTCACGCAGAGGAGAGAAAATGCACACCAACAGTGTTTCGACGGCTGAACTGTCCGTCAAAAGCTTCCCCGGCTTCCATTGGCCATGCCGCCTACGTCCCACCTCAGATGCAGCTTCACGCAGCGGAGAGAAAATGCACACCAAACAGTCTTTGGAAGCTTGCGCTGTCCGTCAGGAGCTTCCCCACCTTCCATTGGTTGTGTTGCCCAGCTGCCGCTCAAGGCTACTGCCCTGCCATGGGCTGGGAGCCAGGAGGCGAGCCCTGTGTCTGAGGGCGCGCTGGCAATGCACCCCACGCCGCGGCCGGATTTCCCTCCCCCACCCCCCCACTTCGCCAACCCACCCGGGAAGCCGGACAGACGGAGGAGGCTTTCTTACGCCTCCCCCACCCGCACCGCTTCTCTTGCCCACCTGGGAAGCCGGATGGATGGGAGGATCTTCTGCAGCCCCTCCTGCCTTCCTCTCTGTCTCTCTTCCTTTCCTTCCCCAGCTTTCTTTCCCCACCCACCCACTCACCCACCCTACCTGTCTAGGGGCTCATTGTCTCCGTCCACAATGGGCTTTGCTCCCTAGTATAATAATAAAATCACATTTTAAAACCACGAAAACACACCCAACAACAACAACAACAATAACGACAGATCATTAAAACATTTTAAATGATTCACAAAATTACTTGGACAAATTATTTGGGTCTGTGTGGTCTATGCTACTGTGTATAGTTTGGCGAAACTAGGATCCTACAAATGTTTCCCCTTTCTAACCTCACAATGGCAACCCAGGAGTCCACGAACACTTCTCAGAATGGCCCCTTCCCACCAAAGAAACGATACACCCAATCCTGTCTTTAGGAGATTTGCTGGGGTATTGGCAGAATTTTTGGCACCTGGTATTTTTGGCCACTGTGTGACAGAGTGTTGGACTGGATGGGCCTTTGGCCTGATCCAACATTGGCGTCTCTTATGTTCTTATGTCTGGGGCAAGGGATGCTCTGTCTTCTTGGTGCTTGGGGGGGGTCAACAGTGGGAGGGCTTCTAGTGTCCTGGCACCACTGCTGGACCTCCTGATGGCACCTGGTATTTTTGACCACTGTGTGACAGAGTGTTGGACTGGGTGGGCCTTTGGCCTGATCCAACATTGGCGTCTCTTATGTTCTTATACTAGGGACTGGCCAATACCCAGATTTTTTTTAAAAAAAAATTCCTTCCCAACTTAATGTATATATGTTAATCATATCTGCAGCTGGGCTGAATGTAATATTACTTCTGTATTTTTTAAATAAGCCCTTCTAAAATAATAATAAAAAAAGAAACCAGGCTCCTGCTGTGGAATTTTGCATCACTGAATGCGTTGTGTTCACACTTAGGCTTTGCTTCGGTTTTGTTTTTTTAGGTTTCTGGTTGGTTCTCAAACCCAAATCCTATTTCATCATT